AACCGACATGGATGGCATCGTGCATACCTATAAGGCACGACTCGTCGCGAAAGGGTTTCGGCAGATTCATGGTATAGACTATGATGAAACCTTTTCACCAGTTGTGATGCTTAAATCCATACGGATTCTGCTGGCCATAGCTGCGTATTATGACTATGAGATATGGCATATGGACGTCAAGACCGCATTCCTTAACGGGAATTTGCTCGAGGATGTGTACATGACACAACCCGAGGGTTTTGTTGATCCTAAGAGTCCGAGGAAGGTGTGCAAGCTTCAGAGATCCATTTATGGATTGAAGCAGGCTTCGAGGAGCTGGAATCTTCGATTTGACGAGGCAGTCAAAATGTTTGGCTTCCTGCAAAACGAAGATGAGTCATGTGTTTACAAGAAGGTCAGTGGGAGCGCAGTGGTCTTCCTTGTACTTTATGTGGATGATATATTGCTCATCGGAAATGACATTCCTACCTTGCAAGGAGTAAAATCCTGGCTAGGATCAGTTTTTTCGATGAAGGACTTAGGAGAAGCCGCCTATATTCTAGGAATCAAGATCTATAGAGATAGATCGAGAAGGCTTCTTGGTCTAAGTCAGAGTACATACATTGACAAGGTCTTGAATCGGTTCAAGATGCAAGACTCCAAGAGGGGTGCCTTGCCAATGGGACATGACGTTGCTCTTAGCAAGACTCAGTGTCCAAAGACACAGGATGAGCAAGAGCGCATGAGTAGGATTCCATATGCCTCGGCAATTGGATCCATCATGTACGCCATGTTGTGTACTTGTCCGGATGTATCATATGCATTGAGTATGACTAGTAGATATCAGTCTACACCAGGTGAGGCTCACTGGATTGCGGTCAAGAACATCCTTAAGTACTTGAGAAGGACTAAGGATTTGTTCTTGGTGTATGGCGGATTGGAAGACGAGCTCGCTATAAGTGGTTATACCGATGCTAGTTTCCAAACCGACAGAGATGACTTCAGATCGCAGTCAGGTTATGTTTTCTGCCTGAACGGTGGGGCTATCAGTTGGAAGAGTTCCAAACAGCCAACCGTGGCAGATTCGACTACAGAAGCCGAGTACATAGCAGCATCGGATGCAGCTAAGGAAGCTGTTTGGATCAGGAAATTCGTGGGAGACCTGGGCGTCATTCCTAGCATTGCAGATCCCATTGAGTTGTATTGTGACAACAATGGTGCGATTGCGCAAGCTAAGGAACCCCGGTCACACCAGAGATCCAAACACATACTCAGGCGATTTCACTTGATCAGAGAAATTATCGACAGAGGAGACGTGAAGATAAGCAGAGTGTCGACAGATGATAATATTGCCGACCCGATGACGAAGCCTCTCACTTCGTCAAAACATGATGGTCATGTTAGGGGTATGGGGATTAGATGCTTGTAGGATAGATCATAGAGCATAGTGGGAGATTGTTGGTTGTAATGCTCTAGGATGATCCGTGATATGACATTTGACTTTATATTGATTCATTAGTTTATGAATGCATTACTCTTCCCGTTATATGATTGGCATGTTTGTTATATTTCGGTATCCTTGAATCATTATAGAATGATTCTAAACTCCCTGGTCAGTTATCATTGTGGGAACAATGATGAATTAAGACTAGCCTGAGGTGTGATCGATGCATTGGATGCATTTCACAATCATGGGTACTCGTTGTGAACGAGTGACTGGTTGACCCGCATGAGATTGTCACATGGACAGAGTCATGACTTGAATCTCATACAGCGGTTCGTTTATGGATCCTCATACCTGAGATGTCTAGAGTATCTGATATGAGGAGTGGCGTGTCTTGACTGCGTCAAACGTCGTCTTTAACCGGATGATTATAACGGCGTTGATCAGATACGTTCACGAATCATATGGAGATAATAGACATGCAATATGGGACTTATCACCTCCTCAATAGGAGAGATATCGCTGGGCCCTCTCGTGGAAGTCGGACTATGAAAATGCGTGGCCACGCTATAGATGAAGTTGCATCTATTTTATTAGTTGATTTGCCAAGACGAGAAAGCGGTTGAACTTGAAGGGTGGCTCAAACCATGCCCTTGTTCAACATATGATATCGTGAGATAAAGGATCAGAACTCGAGCTGTTATTGCCTTGGTTAGATCACCTCTGACTCAATTCAACGTGGGTGGTCATGGCGTCTTGCTAGAGGCTAACCATGACTTGTAGATCGGGAATGGTTCTCGAGGCTGCTGCCACTGCGAATGGGCCTACAGGGTCACACACCATTAGGGATGGACTTATATGTGAAGTTTCGGAAAGGAAGACTTGGATTTGGTCGGAAAAATCGTTTTCGGATCAAATCAGAGTGTCGGGACGTTTTCAGCCTTCTGACTCGGACCGAGTCAGTACTTGACTCGGACCGAGTCAGTCCCATGCGGGTCGAAGCCCAGAAAGTGTTTTGGGCTTGGTTGATGTTTTGACTCGGTCGAGTCAAAGTTTTGACTCGGACCGAGTCAATACTAAATGGGCCGAGTCAAGAGTTGACAATGGGCTTGGGCTGATTCGTTCTGACTCGACCGAGTCAGAGTTCTGACTCGGACCGAGTCAATACTCGGAAAAAGTCTCTTTTCACAAGGATTAGGGTTCCTATCTTATAAGAAGGGTATTGGACGCCGTCCTCAACCTAAGACAGACGAAAAGAACCCTAAAACAGAGCAAAAACTCAGAAGAAATCGTTTCTTTCATAGTTCTAGCTCCCGGGATTAGATCCCACTTCATATACTTCACAGATCCTAGCAGATCAGTTCCAAAAGTGTTTGGAATCCTTCCCGTCGGTGTGGATACGTGTAGAGGAGCTGTACTTTCAGCTCTTGGTGATTAAAACAGGCCCTGGATCGATCGCTACTTTCAGATCTTCAGGAAAGAGGTAAGTATTCGATTCCTACGGTGATATACACGATCTGTCGGGGTTTTACGGATGATTTTGGTTGCGTGTGACGTTTGACTAGGTTTAGATTATCCTTCCGCTGCATGAAACCTAGTAAACCAAACCCTAGATCGATATGATCGCATGCTAGGAATCTGTAGCCTAAATCCCAACACATGGCCCATGGCGTAGCATCTCTCGGATCCCGCAAGATGTCTAGGCACGATGGTTTGCTGCTTTTGCGGTATTGTCTTAACTTGTTCGTTTTTTGTTTAATATATCTTTTTTAGTATTAAATAACTAACACATATTGTTTAAAGCAATCTTATTACTGGGATCCTTCTGTGCATGATGTCGTCCATCGTGCGTGGAAGGATTGTCTCGGTGCGAGATTGCGAGATAACCTTTATAGGTTGAAATTCTTGCGGAAGAAGCCGGACTGGATTAGTTTAGACATCTGGGCGCAGCTGGAGGTAATATGGGATTCAGAGGAATCTCAAGAGAAGAGTCGGATCGCATCGACGAATCGAAAGGCGAAGTCTGCTTCCGACCGTGCCCCAGGAACTCACACTGTGGGGAGAAGATCGTTTGCTAAAGTTGCTCTCAATATTGTAAGTATTTTGTGAAAATTGATTTATTTGTTTTTAAATTTTATTAATATTTTTGTATAACTTGTTTAGGCCGAGAAAGAAGGCGTTCAACCGTCTGCTCTGCGTGTCTTACAAGACACGCATCGTCGATCGGATGGGACGTACGTAGATCATCGTGCCCAAGAAATTGAAGAGGCCATTCAATCGAAGATTACCGATCGAATGACGATGGACGAGAGCAGCGGTTCAACGCAATTGACTCCGCAAGAAATCAACAGCTTGTATCTCGAGGTAATTTTTGTATTTTAAATAATATAACAGGTTAGAGTTTAAATATTATTTACATATTGTTTTGAAGGTCGTTCCTCCCGATGCGAAAGGTCGGATTTACGGGATTGGTGCGTTGGCGAGTCAGCTCGGGGGTGGTGGCGCATCTTCGTCGTCTGTGGTACGTCATGTATCTCTGACGCGTGAAGTCGAGGAGCTGAAGAGAAAACACGAGGAGACTTCTGCGGAACTTGTAGCTGCTCGGGAGAAGATTGCTCAGTTTGATGCAGCTCAGGCGAAGATCGCTCGGTTAGAGGAGATGATGCAACGTTTTATGCCTCCGATCGATTCCGCCGGTTCGTCTGCTCCGAGTCCCGCCGTCAATCCCGATCCATCGGTTCATCAAGACGAGCAACATCCTCAAAATCTCGATGATTTTCCGGACAACTTATTTCGTTAGATTTCAATTTTGTAATATATAAAACAATTTCGGTTTTTTTTCAATTTTTAATATATAAAACAATTTTCAAATGTATAATTATTTTTTTTAAACGATTTTTTTTATTTTTTTTCGAAAAAATTTTCTTATGCGACGGAATAATCCGTCGCATACGGAATAATCCTACGGAAATCTTCCGTCGCTTTCCGTAGCTATTAGCGACGGAACTATCCGTCTTTATAAGCCGTCGCTAATTTGCGACTATTATCTGACCAATCATCCCGTCCCTCTTTGCGACTATTATGCGATGGACGATCCGTCGCACTATCCGACGGAATTACGACGGAGATTCCGTCGGTCAGAGCGACGACTGAACGACGGAATTTCCGTCGCGTTTACCATGGAAAAACGACGGAGTTTTCGTCGGTCATATCGACTAGATTGCGACGGTTAGTCCGTCGCTTTTCCCGGCGGAATATTCCGTCGCTAAAAACGACTGACTTACGACGGCTGTTTTCGTCGCAAATGTGCGACGGATGCACGACCGGGATGTGTTTGCGACAACCATTAACGGACGGAACTTATTCCGTCGATGTCCGTCGCAAATTAAAAATACCGACGGAATTTCCTCTTTCCTGCGACGGATATTTCCGTCGGAAATATGAGTGTTTTTTGTAGTGTATCCTCTACCCCAGTTAACCAACTTCACACATAAAATAAATATTAAAAAAAACAATATAGATGGACCGGTTATATATGCAATATGATCCGAATTTATACATAACTCTTTTTCTCGGATCCCAATTCCATCAAAACAAACGAAAACAAAAAACAAAACTTTCTCTCTCTTCTCTCTCTGTCTATAATAAAAAGAGGGAGATTCTGTAATCTAATTTGCAGTTCTGATATTCTATCTTCTCGCTGTTCTCTATTCATGGCTCTTCTTCCTTTACCCGATCGAACGAAACTGCAAGCTCAAACGCAAACGCAAACGCGTTTATCATCGGATCCAAGTAAAAAGAAGAAGAAGAGACCGGCGAAACCACCATCTCAGCCGCAAACGCTACCGCCGCCCCGAACGCGAACGCAAACTCAAAAGCATAAACCGTTGTTTTCTTCACCGTCGTCATGGAGCCAAATAAAGTATCTGCTGAGTTGCAAACAGATCGAAGGGCCAAGAGTCCACGACCCATCAAAGATCCCTCATCATGGACTGTACACGTCAGCGACGTTGTCGTCGTCGTGTGGGTCATCGTTTTGCAGGTTAAGCGACGTCGTTTATGGAAACGCGAGGGTCGTTCACAGATCCGATCACTCTTCATCGTCACCGGAGAGCAGTAATCTTGGTCAGGAAACCAGGTTGTTGACTCGGAAGCCTGTGAGCCGTGGATCTAATGTGGTTAGATCCAACGGGTGTGGTGGTTACACGTCATCATCCACCTCTTCGAGAACCATGCACTTCACGAAACTCTCTGGTTGCTATGAATGTCGCATGATCGTTGACCCGAGCAGGTTCCATTTCTTCGCTTCTTTCAAGTTTTTTTTTATTCTTTAGAAGAAAAAACAGAATTTCTACACAATTAGAAAAACCGAACCTTTTTTTCTTGGGTAGTGGAAAATATGTTTTTTCTTTTTTTTTATATTAAAAAATATTTATCGGACAAAAATTATGATACATGTAAATCTAGATCGACATTTATCGCTATTTTATTAATTTTATATAAAATATCTGTTTTGCATTTTTTCTATATTTTCAAGAATTATTCCTATTTTCTTTCTTTTATTTCTTACAAACCCATCTGTTTTTTTATATAATTTATTCAATTATAATAATTTATGCGCTTCAAGAAAACCCTAAAATTTTGTCTGGTCAGGTCCAGGAAATATGTTTTTGAGTCATTTGGGTTGGGTGACTCTGTTTTTCGTTTTATTTAATTTTTTGAAGTGACAAACGAAAGGAAATGATGATTATTAATAATGTTTTGGTAACCGTGTATGTCGTGTATCAAAACCCAGATTGTCGGGGTTAGCAATTTGATTTGGAATCGACATTCTCTATCTAAACTTAAGGTCCGAATACTTTTTGTGTCTCCGTTTCGCCGAATAATATTTTTCTTGATTTGTTTTTGCCGTGTGTATTTGTATTTAACTACGTAGATATCCAATAGCACCTAGAGTATGTGCGTGCCCACAATGTGGCGAGGTGTTCCCAAAGCTTGAAAGCCTCGAGCTTCATCAAGCTGTTCGTCATGCTGGTTCGTTAACCCGATTCTATCTCCTTGAATTATTATTGATGATTTTTTAGTCGCATAATTTATTATTGATTGATCTGTCCACCTTTGTCGCAGTTGAGTCACTCTGATGTGTCATTGCATGTCGTCTTGTTTTCCGGGTCATGAACATGCACAAATCAAATAATAGATGCATGGTGCCATTATGAATTTTTGTCACCTCAAATCGGGTGACATTGACATTTTGGTCGCTGGAATTGAGATATAATTAAAAAATATTTATTTCATTTATAATTTATTGCTGCGTATAAGATATGGTTTTCAATAATTTTTTTAAAGAGCAAAATGTGAAACCATATTTGGCGCATGTAAGATGGCTTTAACCGGTGGAACATGAACTGCGTGAATTGTTATCTTACCACATCTAAATATGATAATTTTTTTTAATTTGTATTTAGTTTATTAAAAGATATATTTTTTTGATGAGCTATTAAAAGGTATTTGTTGAAGTATTTTCATAAATTGTCTATATATATGACCTCTTAAACTTGTACTATATGTCATTTTTTCCATTTAATTAAAATTCTTTTTTTTTACTAACAATGTTATACGATTGTAAATAATTCCGTAGAAATGCGATCGCTCGTACAAATAGCCAGAAAATAACTATTGTGAATCAATCTACTGTTCCGTTCATTCGCAAATTTCGATTTGTATCCACATCTTTTTATAGCACGTGCGTAAATTGTCCTTTTTTTTACCAGTCTCTGAACTGGGACCAGAAGATTCGGGACGAAACATAGTGGATATAATCTTCAAGTCAAGCTGGTACCGGAAAGAGAGCCCAATCTACAAGATCGAACGGATACTAAAAGTCCACAACAGTCAACGCACGATCCAACGGTTCGAAGACTGCCGAGATGCAGTGAAATCCCGTGCACTCGCCTCCACCGGAAAAAACCCTCGCTCCGCCGCAGACGGAAATGAGCTCCTCCGCTTCCACTGCACCACAGTCTCTTGTTCCCTCGGAGCTGCCGGCGGATCCTCTCTCTGCTCCGCCGTGCCAGGATGCCGAGTATGCACCATCATCCGCCATGGGATCCAGGCCAAAACGCACCGTCTTGGACCCTCCGGCGAGTTTTCCGGCGATGGAGGGAGGGAGGTGAGGGGCGTTAGGACCACAGCGAGCAGCGGTAGGGCACACGAGGCCTTGCGGTGTTTCGACCGGAGGCGGGCTATGCTTGTTTGCCGTGTTATCGCCGGGAGAGTAAGGCGCGTGCACTGCGACGCGCCCCCGCTGGGGTCGGGGGCAGAGGAGGATGGCGCGTACGATTCAGTGGCGGGTTCGACGGGGGTGTACGGGAATCTTGATGACTTGGTTGTGTTTAGCCCTAGGGCCATACTTCCTTGCTTTGTGGTTATCTACAAAGTTTTGGAGCCTTAGGGAATTTTCATTTTTTATTTTATTTTATGTGTAATTTGTGGTTTGTAAGTTTAGATAAATGTGTGAAATAGCGGATTGCAATAATATGGAAAGATTTACAATATTTATTTAATTATGTGACAAATCTATCACATTGTATATGTTTTATTTAATGTTTATATATATATATATATATATATATTACGGATTCCAAATATGAACAAAAATGAAAAAAATAGAGAAAAAACCCTAAAAATTTCTGAACTTGTATTGTGGAGTAATACTAATTCCTAAACTTGTAGAGGTGCCTATTAATTCCCAAACTTACAAAATTGGCGTGTGACATGGCGACAATTTTCTAAGTTGGCTCGCCACTTCACGCGCCACGTCGGATCGGTCAACTCGTTTTTTGACCAAATAACGCTAGGACGATTATAGAACCGTTTAACATGTTCATGATTTAACGTGTTCAATTTTGCAAGTTTGGAAATTAATAGACACTTCTACAAGTTTAGGAATTAATATTACTCCTAAATATAAGTTCAGAAATTTTTAGAGTTTTTGTGAATAAAGTATTCACGCGCCACGTCGGATCGGTCAACTCGTTTTTTTGACCAAATAACGCTATGACGATTATAGAACCGTTTAACATGTTCATGATTTAACGTGTTCAATTTTGCAAGTTTGGGAATTAATAACACTTCTACAAGTTTAGGAATTAATATTACTCCTAAATATAAGTTCAGAAATTTTTAGAGTTTTTGTGAATAAAGTATTCACGCGCCACGTCGGATCGGTCAACTCGTTTTTTTGACCAAATAACGCTATGACGATTATAGAACCGTTTAACATGTTCATGATTTAACGTGTTCAATTTTGCAAGTTTGGGAATTAATAGGCACTTCTACAAGTTTAGGAATTAATATTACTCCAAAATATTAGTTTAAAAATTTTAGAGTTTTTGTGAATAAAGTATGACTATCTTTTAATTTCTAAATTGATTATATATATAACAACTTTAGTTATATAACTTTAGGCTCATATTTTATTATAATAATAACTATATTTTGTTAGAGAGAAAATAATCTAATAATGATATTTTTTCTATCAAATATTCAAAATCTAAATTGATTATTAATTAATTTAGAAAAATATATTAAAAAGTATATTTAAAAAAAATATATTTAATTTAGAAATATATTTTTTAATATTTTTTAAAAACAATTCATAATCAATTTAAAAATTAAAAGATAATCATACTTTATTCACAAAAATCCTAAAAATTTCTGAATTGTGTTTTGGAGTAATATTAATTCTTAAACTTGTAGAGGTGTCTATTAATTTCCAAACTTGCAAAATTGAATACGTTAAATCCTGAACTTGTTAAACGATTTCATAATCGTCCATAGCGTTATTTGGTCAAAAAACGAGTTGACCGATCCGATGTGGCGAGCTAACTCAGAAAATTACCGCTACGTCACGTGCCACGTGAGATCGGTCAACTCGTTTTTTTTTACTAAATAACGCAATAGACGATTATGAAATCGTTTAACAAGTTCAGGATTTAACGTGTTCAATTTTGCAAGTTTGGGAATTAATATGCACCTCTACAAGTTTAGGAATTAATATTACTCCAAAATACAAGTTCAGGAATTTTTAGGATTTTTTTTTAAAAAAATACAAAATAATATAATATCAGAACAATTAAAAAAAATTTAAAATTAGATGATATAAAACATTATAAAAAAATTCCACCAGTAACAAAAACTTCACACAACTATTATTTTTGTTTTTTTAAACAAATTATTTTTGCCAAAAAAAAAAGAAATCCAAAGGGCCAACGAAACTATGTAACGGTTGACAAAGGGACTGACTGGTTGCACCGGTACCACCCGCAAACGGAGCGTTTGCGGTTTCTGAGAGGTGGTGGCGGTTGAAATATCGACTGGTAAAATCGTAGAGAAAACGCAATCGCAACAAAACTTTAAAAATCAAAACGTTGCTTTTTAGGTACATTTCGATAGCGTTTCCATGCGTTTTAAGCAAAAGACAAAAATATCCTTCTTAAAAATTAAAAAGATAACCCTAACTCTATCACGTAATACACCGAAGTTCATCTCTGTCGCGTCAAACCCAAACTCTAACTCTCTCTGTCGATCAGGATTCTCTCTCTGTTCAGATCGCCGAAGCTCGCCGGAACTCGCCGGAGTTCATCTCCTCGTCTCCAGGTATGTTTCTTTTTATCTTATCATCTTTCTCAATCTGAATTTTTCGGTTTTTGTTTGAGTATTTGGGTTTGTCCTCTTTGTCTGTCTTCCTTTGTTTTTGTTTTATTTTGTGTTTTGTCTAGTTTTGATTGATTCTCTTTAGCTTTGTCTACTTTTGTTTATGTTTTCTCTCTAAATATGTCTCTATTTGAATCTTTAGATCGATACTCTGCATATGCTTGTACTGGTTTTTGGTCATTTGTTCAAATGGGTATATATAGGTTTTGGCTACAGGTTTTGAATATTAATTGGTTTTAAAAGCAATGCCATGGAAATGCTGACTTGGGTTCATTGTTGAAACACGAGGTGGGTTTTTCATTTCTTGGCACTTCACCTTAGTTTTAGAAGCAACTGGGTTTATTTCACCTTAAAATGCGTTTGTTTTTTTTAATTGTTGGGGAAAAACCCTAAAAATTTCTGAACTTGTATTTTGGAGTAATACTAATTCCTAAACTTGTAGAGGTGCCTATTAATTCCCAAACTTACAAAATTGAACACGTTAAATCCTGAACTTGTTAAATGGTTCCATAATCGTCCATAACATTATCTGATAAAAAAAACGAGTTGACCGATCCGACGTGGCGTGTGACATGGCGACAATTTTCTAAGTTGGCTCGCCACTTCACGCGCCACGTCGGATCGGTCAACTCGTTTTTTGACCAAATAACGCTAGGACGATTATAGAACCGTTTAACATGTTCATGATTTAACGTGTTCAATTTTGCAAGTTTGGAAATTAATAGGCACTTCTACAAGTTTATGAATTAATATTACTCCAAAATATAAGTTCAGAAATTTTTAGAGTTTTTGTGAATAAAGTATTCACGCCACGTCGGATCGGTCAACTCGTTTTTTTGACCAAATAACGCTAGGACGATTATAGAACCGTTTAACATGTTCATGATTTATGTTCAATTTTGCAAGTTTGGGAATTAATAGGCACTTCTACAAGTTTAGGAATTAATATTACTCCAACATATAAGTTTAGAAAGTTTTAGAGTTTTTGTGAATAAAGTATGACTATCTTTTAATTTCTAAATTGATTATATATATAAAAATTTTAGTTATATAACTTTAGGCTCATATTTTATTATAATAATAACTATATTTTGTTAGAGAGAAAATAATCTAATAATGATATTTTTTCTATCAAATATTCAAAATCTAAATTGATTATTAATTATTTTAGAAAAATATATTAAAAAGGATATTTGAAAAAAATATATTTAATTTAGAAATATCTTTTTTAATATTTTTTTTAAACAATTCATAATCAATTTAGAAATTAAAAGATAATCATACTTTATTCACAAAAATCCTAAAAATTTCTGAATTGTATTTTGGAGTAATATTAATTCTTAAACTTGTAGAGGTGTCTATTAATTTCTAAACTTGCAAAATTGAATACGTTAAATCATGAACTTGTTAAACGGTTCCATAATCATCCATAGCGTTATTTGGTCAAAAAAACGAGTTGACCGATCCGATGTGGTGAGCTAACTCAGAAAATTACCGCCACGTCACGTGCCACGTGAGATCGGTCAACTCGTTTTTTTTTTACTAAATAAAGCTATGGACGATTACGGAACTGTTTAACAAGTTCAGGACTTAACGTGTTCAATTTTTCAAGTTTGGGAATTAATAGCCACCTCTACAAGTTTAGGAATTAATATTACTCCAAAATACAAGTTCAGGAATTTTTAGGGTTTTTTCTCTTTTACAATATCTAAAGAATGAGTTTCCTTCAAATTGGAAGTGGACTTTTCTTAGATGAGGGGTTGTTTCAGAATGTTTTTCCATGGAGAATTCCTAAGTTATAATTTCTTAGATTGTGGAATTTCTTTGTTATTGATTTCACTTTTGTTTTCAATAAAAATTGTATTTCTCAATACTTCTAGCATTTTGTTTCACTTGTGTTATGTTTCAAAATTAATTTATCTTGTGCTAGATTTCAGATTTGAGAAAGATACAAACCACATGACATGGCATCATGATGTACGCACGGAGGAGGATGGAAGGGGCTCGAATCGCAATCATCGGCTCACGGGCGTGGTGTACGAATTCACGAACAAACGGAGGGATACAACGAAATGGATTGCGGGGTTTTCTCTCGATCACCGGCTCCTGTGCGGACTCTCGAATTCAAGGGAAAACCAAGGAATGGAAGATGGCAGCGAAGTGATAATCTCTTGGACACACCAAGAGGACCGAGTCGGACACACCGAACCCGGAATTGTTCCGGACATACCGAGAACGAACGTGACACACCGGACGAAAGAGGAGAGAATTTTCACTCAAAGGAAATTGCTATTAGCTTTCAATATCTGGATGTCTCCTCTGAAAATTACAAGGGCTGAACTTAAAAGAGGTAAACACACTTAATAATAAGTTTACATGCATGAGTTTAGCAATAAGTGAGAAAAGAGTTGTTGAGAAAGCTCCTTCCTTTGGGTTGCTGATGGGCTGGACCGTGGGCCTTCTTCTTGGGCCGAAAATTGATTAAGTCCGTGTTCTAGGCCTTAGGCAATTCAGACTTAATGCTGAAAATTTTCCGGGTCACTTCTCGTCCGAATAGTGATGCATCATTGTTGTCGTGAACCCCGAATCCGTGAAGAACTTCAGTGACAGCCTTGGTTAACGTGACATGAAGGGCTCGAGCTCTAGCACGAGTGAGGGGAGGCTCGACTCTATGGCTTGCTCGTTGAGCCGTCGCGTGATGCACGTCACTTCCCGTTCTCACGGCTTCGAATGATCGTGTAGCGTGTTGATCATTCGGAACTTCTCCCGGCACCTGAAAGACCGAGTCTTCATCATCCCGGAGAGCTCCTTCCGTTAAGCTCCCATCCTCATCTTCCTCCAAGCTGCTAGCTGCTCCGATGT